TACACTTAAAATTTAATTAAAAAAGGCTACATTTTTTAAATAAAATAACACAAAATACTGTTTTACTGCGAATGATTATAAAATTAAATGTAATTTTCAGAAACCTTATGTTTATAGTCTACTGTACTTATATATGTTTTTATGTAACAGTTTTAATTAAGAAAATGTTATTAAAAAAAAAGATTTTTTCCATTATTGGATTTACTAAATTTTTTTTTTTAGTTTTTGTGGACTATTATCTAATTATAATCCTATTAATCATAGTTTTCGTCCGACGGAGAGAAATGACAATTGGAATTTTTGCCGAAAATCATGAGTGCCCACACATCTGAGAAATAACAGCGTTCGATGTTAGAAACTTTGGTCCGAATAAATATAATAAATGTAATGTATATTATATATATGTAATATATGTATTAATTTTAATAATAATATATTATTATCTTGTGTAACATTGCATTGGCAAAATCGCTTTTATTATTATGATAGATATTGTTAAACGTGACATTTTCCCGGACAACGTCGGCAAAATAATTATCAGTATAGCTTATGTGTGGACAAAATATTTTACTAACCATATTATGTACGATTTATTCCATAACAAAAATCAGTTACGTAAAAAGCAATATTGTGCTCGTTTTGTTATAAATGTTGTGATAAATAATTTTTTACTTAAACGTGTTCTGTACGAATTTCAGAAGAGAAAAACCTGTCTAAAACGATGTGGTTACTTAAGGTAAAAATCTAAATCTATGTAACCAAACGGCCGAGGTATAAGGACAATTGAACAATTATGATTCATAAATATATTATGTTATTTATACATACTTATTTCCACGTGGAGCTAATTAACTCCGGTTCGGTAAACAGGAAAAACGTGTATGTTACTTAAAAAAAAATTACTCATTTTTAACAAAAATGATTTTTGTTTAATTTTTTTTTTTAATAAATATAATTACTTCGTCATGAAGTTGTGTTTGATTGAATGACCCTCAATTTCATACAAACGTTGGATTATTACAAAATATACTACATATTAAGTTCATTAAATTTTTTCTTTGCAGATTCTATTGACTATTGTGTTGTTCTTGTATTAATTTTATATTATATATATATATATTATTAAATAATTATATATTATATATTTTCTGTAGCCGATTTCCGACTAAAAATCGTAACATTAAGAACATGATTTTACTAATTTACATTGTCAAATAAACATTTTACTCGATTAACATGTATCACGCATGACACTTATAAATATAATTGAACCAAAATATAATGTATTAATTATTGTATTGATTTGTTTCATCGGTAGTAATAAATGTTTAAATTTTCAAAACTAGTTGAGTAATTATGTTTGGTGAAGCTGTGTTAGAACTATTCAATTTATAATATATACTTACAGATTAATATATTTACCTATTATTACATGAACGTTTTAAATAATATCGCATGTTCAATTTAATGGGTTTAGAATATGTTTAATATGAATGCCATAATTATTTTTATCAGTGTACTTAATATTTAATGCAAGTAATTTGTATCAATTTTAATCAGTTGTATAGCAATAAAAAATAAATTAAAATTACAACCGTGGGAAAATATTACTATTATTTGTCCCATTAGGGATATATAATTACATTACAGTATGAAATCATTTTTTCATTTTAATATTTTCTAACCCTCTATTATCTTCTATCTATTCCAACATCGCAATTAGTACAATATTCCGCAAAAATAATTTTTAGTTGATCACCGATTTAAACCGATTTATGAAAATTATTTTAATATATTATCTTTTAATTAACAAATTAATTAATCAATTCAGTCCTCGAGATTTCGATTCAATTCATATACGTTAAAGTTTTAATACGAACACTTGTGATTACATTAATTAATGAAATTCAGCTCTCCCAAGTATTGTTTGTATATGTTAATAAAGGAGTAATTATATTCGGATGGAACTGTATATTATATATGGCGTTGGGTAATGAAACACATCGTTCTCTCATAATATTAAAAACAAAAAAAAATAAACCGAACAATTAAATAAACATAAACTAATATCTTTAAAAATCTTTTGTTTTTTTTTATTCAGCTACTACATTACACAAACATTACACGTTCAAATGCAATTGTATAATATTTCTTCTTTTCATCTTCCGTATAATATCCATACAAACAGATAAAATATATATAGAGATATGAGTTTGTATTATACAGTGGTATAAAACTTAATTATACAAGGTATTATACACATGGTATAAAATTATTTTACACAGACAGTACAAAAAAAAAAAAAATGAAATCATTATTTTTAGTTATTCTTAGTAACTCAGCTATTAATTTTTTAGTTGTACTTATAGAATGGATCTTCAATAAAATACAGTATTATTATAAAAATTAAAAATATACAATACTATTGCAATCGTGTTAATTTAGAATTCAGGTGTTAAAAATGACTAAAATCAATCGGGGGCGGATCCAAACCAAGATAACGGGGGATGGGGCATTTTTAACGGACACACATGATATAGATAAAATTAAAAATATTAATTTTGATATCGTCGTTTAAACTACAACAGTGGGTATCTCAAAATTTGATAAAATGAGTTTATTTACAATATTAATAAAATAAATGATTCTTAGCATTTAAACATCAAGGAAATTTTCTGAAATATATCAGAATAAATATGATTATATTATTTGTTCGAAGCATGGAAATGTAAAAGAAATATTTAAAGCATCTTCAACTGTAAGATCAAATACGTTTTTTTGTTTGCAGTGTTCTACTATGTTTCTACTATGTATAGCAATTTAAATAAATTTAAATTTGGATGGGTTAGTCCTCATTTTGATTTTAAATTAATAAGCACATCTTTTGTTAAATTATTTGAATTTTTCATATAACTACTGTAATAATATAGCTCTTCATACTACTAACGCTTTACAGATGGAAAATGTGTACTAAACAAGTAACGCATTCTGACCGTCAGTTATCAATGCAATTTAGATATACGATAGCAAACCTGTATATCTTAAACCATGAGCTGCATGTTCCCAGCCCCCCACCTCGGACTTTCAAGTTTAAATTTTTACAATCTTTTGTGTTTCGTTTGTGCTTGTTTGTGTTTTTATTCCCGTCGTTTGTGCTTAACTCGTTTCCGAGATATTAAAAATTGAAAGAGGGAGGGGCCTAAGGACATGCTTAATAAATTCAAAATATATTTAAACAAACTTATAGTGTGTACTGTTTTATTAACACATTTTATAAAGTAAACTAAGTGTATGTAAGTAACCAATTTTTTTATTTATTATTGACCTGTTCGTTTATTCCAAGTTTGTGCAAATTTGTAATCAAACTTCAACAGAAAATTCTGATTTACTTAGGATTTTTTTTATAATGACCTTCTTTATTTTTTTTAAAAATTAATTTGCGTACAAAAATTAAAATTTGACGTTTTTACGTGTATTTTAAAACAATAAAAGCTCTTCTCTCCAAAACACCGAAGCGATATAATCATTATTGATGAATTTTCATTTTGAAAAAATCTTCTATAATAATATCATAACACGTTTTTAAAATTGTTTGAAACCTTTTTAATTTTATCATTTTTAAATTTGGGTAGACGTTTAAGCAACTATTTTATCAGGCCACGGAATTTTAAATCTAACAGGCTACTACGAATTCGCATTGAAACTTATGCGTACCAACGTGTCTAATCGTAAACACGGTTTGTAAACAATACTTTTGAAAAAGTATTAAGATAACATACTAATACTAGTATTCGAATGAAACAGTATTAAAAATACTTTTAAAATACTATTATAAAAATGTATTTTACGAATACTCATAAAGCATTTGAATACGAATCCAAGTATTTATTTTAATTTTATGCTATATAATATATATGTATACTGTATACCACTATTGGTACCTATTATGTTACTATTTTCCATGGATCTTAACAAATATTATAACATGTTTGACTATTTAGAGATAAATACATTTGCATAGTGTTTTATTATTGTTAAATATAGCAGAGTGCAAAATAAATTCGTTTCTCGGAGCCATGATATCAGATCTAAAATTTGAAAGTAATATAATGCATATATTACATATATATATTATATTTTTGCATGTTTGATAGATTTTGCAGAAGAGTGCATATTTTAAGATTTGTATGCTTATTTTGCATACTTTGACAAATTTTTCAAGTTTAAAATTAAAAACTAGATACATATTTCAACCGATCAAATAAAAAATGTACTAAGAGGACTTAATACTTCCAATGATGTACTGTCTACAAACTACCTCTCATATCTCGTTATAATTTTTGTTTAAGTATAAATAATACTATAGCCCCGTATCTATCGTATAACCTGCTGGATATCGATCGGATGTCGATATAGATAATAGTAGGTATAGAATAATAGATTATTTGTTTAGTATTCAGTTCAGTCGATTATTATCCGTCGTTGTTTTTGCGTTTCACAACCACACAACGTCGATTCATACGTAAAACGTCGTACGCATATATTTTGTAACATTATGTAATACCGAAAGTACAACAGTTTACGAGTAGCCGAATAAACGTACAGGTCACTAATAAATAAAAAAATTGGTTACTTACATACACTTAGTTTACTTTATAAAATGTGTTTATAAAACAGTATACACTAAAAGTTTGTTTAAATATATTTTGAATTTATTAAGCATGTCCTTAGGCCCTTCCCTCTTTCAATGTTTAACATCTCAGAAACGAGTTATGCACAAACGACGGGAATAAAAGCACAAACAAGCACAAATGAAACACAAACAACTGTAAAAATTTGAAATCGAAAGTCCAAGGTGGGGATGCTGGGAAAATGCAGATTAAACCGTGTAGTAGTATATAACTGTGATATCAGATATCACCAAATAATAAATATAAGTGATAACATTAGTACCAGCATAAGTTTGGTATAAAAAAATAGTTTAAGATTTCCTTCTTTACCCTTGAAGTAATTATAAACTAAAGTCTGCTACAGTGAACGGAGGGGGTGGCGATTGCCTCATTCGCCGCATTCTGGATCCGCCCCTGAAATCAATTTATTGTACTAATATAAATTAAAATTCAAATATTGTAAATATATAGATACAATGAGATAATATATAAGTATAAAAATATTAAGTATAGTTTTATCTTTATTTAAAAAATATGTTTTTCTATGTATAAAATATATACGTATGTTACCTATATCATAATTGCAAATCGATAGCATCACTAAATATTAATTTGGTGAATTTGTTGAATAATTTTTGTAAAATGTATTTTTTTAATTTTTTCTAACTTTTTAGCCTTTTTTTTCGATTACTCCATTTTAAAATAATTTATATTTTATAATTAACAATGGGAGTATTAATCTTTGTAAAATTCCCTATAATTTAAGGTATTGCATGGTTCTATATAGTATAATAATGATATAATACCGGTATAATACTGTATTATACAAAAAATAAATAAAATACCGTATTTTAACATCTCTAATTATATAAAATTCTACTTCACTGGATGATTAATTTTGTTCTAATTTGTACGAAATCATCCGGTACTCGTGACGTATTGTAATTCATCATTGAAAAAAAAATATAAAAAATTAATAAAATTCTACAATGTAATAGTATTTCACTCGACCGGTTTTCGAGGTAAACATAAGTAAATTGATGAAACGATCAGCTACACATCAAAAACCATTGAGATTGATCGGTTTGAATTTCTATATAGATGTAACACAGTCAATATACTCTATGATGGCTGTGACAAATATCCGACTGATGAATAAATTATTAATTTTAGTATCTGCACATCTAACGAGATAATGATATTATTACTGCACAGCGAACAAAAGATAACCATTACCATATTATCTCGTGCCGGGTGAACATACAAGTCCAACGGAATTGAAACGCACAGTAGCATAACTTTGTGTTTGTTTTTTTAAGCGGCAACCACAAAGAAATAATTAACGAGCACCATTTATATTTTGAGCCCAATTCACCTCTGTCAGAGTTTTTACTTCTCATTGCATTAGTAATTTTAGCGCTGCAATATAAATGTTTGTGAATACTCAACTACATGAAAAATTGATGACTTCTCCTAAACTATATATGAGCTTTCGTTTTTTAGTGAATTACTGTTTGAGTATTAAAAAGTTCATTACTTATCTTTTACACGGTTTTTTTTTTTTTACCAAAATAAATCAAAAATTAATAAAATTCTCCTTTTCAAAATAAGATGAATATTTAGGAATCAACAGAATTTAACTAGTTTTTCTTGTTTCACGCAAGTATAGTACCTTGAGAAAACATGTTTTAATTTTATTTAAAGATCCAGTCTTTGTGCATAGAATGCATTTTCTTCGTCAGCCTGCTCTATCTAATACAAAGAAAAAGAATCGTCATGTAATTATATAGTAACAATACTACACCGTAAATTAAAATAATTATCAACCCACTAGACATTTTACTACAATTTATAGTACGCTCCTTCCGGAGATTATTATATTTTTTCCTCGGCGCATATTAATTGAATCTCGAATTTTAACAAAACATCATGATTTCAAGTGTTTCCATAACATATTAAAAAACGTGGATTGATTTGAAAAAACTTTCCTGGTTTTATTCAAATTGAAAATATAATACTATAAACTTAAACATTTAACCGAATGAAGTTAAGTATATAAAGCACTAGCTGTTATCGTTTTTTTAATAATATACCATTTACACATTTTTCACAATGATCCATAATTTTGAACCAATTTGAGGAGATTAATCTTTCCGCCTGCGTGGACTTAATAAGCTAAAAGAAACTTAGCAAAATTAAAGGATACGATTAAAAAAAAAGTATATATATATAGAAATTTATCGATTTTTGATGAATGCATAAATTAACCATATTGTGTTTACTATAAATGAATACATGTAATATAATTCAATGGAGACAGTTATAACAAAAGGCAAGTAATGGATAACAATATTGAAAACATTAAAAACGAGACGAACAATAAAACGAATATTTAATAATGTGGCGCGGTTTTTCAATGCAAATAATACTAAATGAGTTGAAAACCAAAGTTTGTAGAAATTACAATTTAATTAAAAATTTCTAGGTACACCCTCTGTGTGTTTAGATGCATACACTTTCACGTGGTTAGATGACTCACTCCGTCGCGCCGTCCGTTGTACATAACACGTTCAGCCACGGCCGTAATAACGATTACATACCCAAACGACCGAAAGTTTTGCAAATTATTATAATTTATTTCGAATTTCATTTTGTCCTTCGAGTTCCCGAAAACTGGACGGGTTTTGGTGGGAGATGAAGGAGAGGAGCACTCGGTCGCGTCGTCCTTAGGTACTGCTGCCGTTGTAGTTTTATAATGTTACGCGCATTCCGCTACGTCACGGCCGTCGAGCGAAAAATAATAAATCAACATCTACTCCGACCACGGAATTTACAACCAGGACCAAGTAGTATCATAGATACAAATATTTAAGATATATATCTGAGGTATAGTTGAATCTTGTATCCCGTACCTTATATTTTTTTATACTCAAAGATACTATGCTCTATGCTTTAGATACATTAAAAATTATATTTTATTTATTTATATGACGGTTTTCATAATTGCCCAATAACAAGATACAGAATTTTAGTTAGTAATTTGTAATGTTAAGCAAGTTAGATCAAAGGAACTACTATTTGCGGATAATAAATCAACGGTTAAACTCAGTTGGTCATCACCAATCACTGGTCGGTTTATATTTATTTCGTTTCACGAGTGTATTATTGAAAAACATAGATAACCAGAATAATTCAATAGTTAATACATAAAATTTATAAAATATAACACAAGCTTTTGCTCTTTGACTACTGCTAAAAACTATTTTAACTTACCAAGCTTATTTGTTTTACATGTAGATCTAATACATCAGAATGGTAATTTCAAAAAATTTGTGTCTTCAAAAGGTAATCAAGAATTTATTTTAAAATACGGGACATAAATTACTTAAATTTTTACATTTTATTATTAATGAATAAATATTGCTAATTTATACATTATATATTTATTTATTTTTCCATAATATTTGTATGTATTGCAAATATTTTCTTTTTTAAATAAATCAAAAAAAAAAAAAATGTTTATTTATTATTAGATTATCATTAGTATTATCATTTTAAGCACATCCAATATCACTTGAAATTTTATTTGAATTGACCTATTAAAGTGTTAAGTATCTTGTATACGTGTCTCAGATACTAGTATCTTCTGTCTAGTATATTTCAAAAATGTTAAATTTTCTTATATTTTGTATTTAGATATTATTGATGTCCTTAAATACATTGTTGGAGGTATCTTGTCCAGCCCTAATTACAGCTATACAAATCTACGGCGGTATCATTGTTTGGGAAACATGATTAATATATATTATAATTTATCAACATTGATATCATGCATATCTTTTGTGTTTTAAATCGGCACGTCACCGTCCATCGTAAGCACGTGTTACGATTCGAAAATCACTTAAAAGCGCGCCCTCGCAGTACAATATCTCGATATTTTTACAGCGAACGGACGTAGGGTAAACGGAAAGTTATACATATTTTTACGTGTGTTTTTTGTTTTTATATTTATTCTAATTTTAACGACTATAAGCTTTTATATTCCCAGTAATAAAAATGGTGTTTATATTGCAATGTTTTGCCCATTCAAACCTCTCCTCTCATCCGTACACTTTTTGAGGTAATAAATCTGTTGTGTAAGACCTTTTATAGTATTTCTTAACATCGAAAATTCTACCCGAAAGGATTGTTTAATGGGATCATTTTTTGTTCTTATTTTTAAATTTTTTGAACTTCCTCAGTTGTCTTTCGGGTATCGACAAGAAATCAAAAAGCTTATCGGAAAAAATATATAATTTTATCCATAAAAAGATGAAAATGGTGATTTGTAGCTTGAGATCTGATAGCCATTATATAAATGGTTTGAAGTTTCCAACTGATCTTTTTCACCTTATTGTCGTTTGGTTATACACGTATAAATATAATATGATGACGAAAAACATTTGAACATAACAATAGATTTCCGGTTCCGTTTTTTTAGTCTCACGTTTTTCTCAAAAAACCCAACGGTACATATCGTATTACCAAAATAGCCATCGTTTATAATGATTACTCAAAACGAAAAAAATAATATTTCATTCGATTTATTGCATTAAATTCTCTTTGATTTTGTGTTTTTATTTTTTATTTTTTTTCCAAATTTTAGTTATAACTAAAGACCGGATATAATTGCATTAAAAATATCTTAAAATTGCACTAAAAAGATTCTAAAATTGCAATGAAAATGTATCGAAATTGCGGTATAAATATGTTAAAATTACAATTAAATACATTAAAATTACATAGTAAAATCATATCAAATACGAGTATATTATCATTAATTACTTACATTAATAAACTACATAGGAAGACTGTAATTAATCTGATTCGTATACATATTTGATGAGATTTAATTAACTGGGTATCAATTAAAAGTTGCAATATAAATTAAATCCGCTCTTTAGTTATAACTAATTAATAGCATTATAAAATTAATATACATTTTTTTCTCTTGACTACATCCGTTTATCGATTTAATCTTCCGAGTTTTAATAGAAATTTCTTGTCTACATACATTACAAAGTGCATAGTAAAGGTATAGTGTGCACATTGCTGCACACATCTCACAATCAATAAAATCCGTGTACACGTGAATAATATTTTTACAAAAACCATTTTTCCAATCCCGTGATCCTTAAGCATGACATGTTAGTGTTGTGCACACGTAGTCCATTAAACGAGTGTATAATCGTTATTATTGTTAATATAAAAGTCCGCTGCGATAAAAAAACAATGATAAGGGCACGTACGTGATTCTCGTTCCCATTTTAATGACAATAAATTGTGCCGAAAAAAAATAAATAAAAAAAACTGATAAGGTAATTCAAATCGTATTAAACCGTGCTGCTTCCATGTTAACAATTGAAATTATGTTT